CACAGAAAGAAAGCCAAAAAAACAAAACTTCTTTTTGGATTTACTTTCTGTAAGAAGCGGAAGCACTCAGAAGTATTTCAATGTATTTTCCACGGCTCGAACTGAGAAATTACGGTTTGGGGCACCAAGGGCCGCAAATTATTTATCAGTTTAACCTACTTCGGCCGCTCCATTTGCACCGTCCAATTATGATTCGGCCTTCTAATGGCCCGTTACTTATCACTGCAAGTGCCAAGAAAACACTAATAAAGCTATATACAATATCTAAATCTACATATATATACATTACAATCAACAGCAGTCCTATAATGTGCCTACAGCCTAGTTCCTTGGACAGTTAATCTCGCCAGAATCTATGGGATATATTTCAATAACCACCAAACGATCGATGGTTTTTTTTTTCGACCTAGATGTAGCTGCTGTTGTTTCAAAACCCGCCATAAGTTATGAGAGTCATCGCATTTTGTTTTGCAGGATCGAATTGTCTGTCCAAATGATCCCAAACATACCGTGAAGAAATCGGAATTGACCAAGCACCTAGCATCACGATGCAACAATCGTCTACGCGATTATCCATGGATCTGCAAAAATATCAATGTTGCCGGTTTGGTTTTGGTTTTATTATGCTTTTTGGCTGTGCAACAGCTGTACAAAACGCATATTGTCACGGAGTTTTTGTATGTGTATGTATGTATGTTTGTGTATAGTGAGTGTGTGTGCGTGTGTGTGTGGTGAGTGTGTGTGTGCGTGTGTGTATGTATGTGTGTGTGCAACCAATGCATCTTGTATTTACTTTGTTACTTTGATCAATTTTGTGTAGTAATGTCGTACTCCAGCTATGCGTTTGGGAATTTAAATCCCGTTACTTTGAGAAATGCCGCATTGTTTTGTGGTCATCTTCCTGCTGCTAGTGATCTTTTGGCTTGTTTCCTCTCCCGACTTGACAACTTTCCAGTTTTGATTATAAACTCTGTATTTTGCGTCACTGTCGTGCTTGGGATTAGTTCGGAACGAAGTATTGTTATAAACACACACGCAAAAGATCGTCGGTTTTTATGCATTTCCAAATGCTTCTTCTGGGGAAGCCGTTGAACTAGTAATTTAGTCAGGTAACGAATTTCGATCATTAGGAACGCCAATACGATGACCAGGAGACTAAGTGTTGTAGAAATTTTAAAGATACAAACAATGAATATCCCTGCCTAGGAGACTACAAGAGAACGGGAGCCTGAAATCTTCTATGTGTTAACATATGCAGTTTGTTTGGCATTATTA